ACTCTTACGTGCTCGTGCGTACTCGTGCGTACTCGAGCGTACTCGTGCGTACTCGAGCGTACTCGTGCGTACTCGTGCGTATGCTCGAGTACTCGCGTTCAGTCGCCCATCGCGGCCGCAATGCTACATCCTAAACCCTTACCTCTGCGCCCAAGCTGTGTATTCGCTAGCCCCAAGAGTACCCCACCCTTACCATACGGATCCGAAGCAAACAGACAGTCGCTGTAGGAGTCTGAATGATCAGCGACAAAAACCAAAAAACGGCCCTTCCGAGTATGATTATCCAGGCGCCCCCGCCCCCTCTGCCAAAACAAAATGGCAACAACACATAAAACAAACTAGTAGTCATACAAAGGCATGCAAAAGAAAAAAAAGCATTCACAACAACCCAAGAAGCGCTGTCGCCTGCCCGTGGCCTGTGCCCCGGCGATGCAGGACCTGGGCGGCTCTTGCAGGGCCCTTCAAAGGGTGAGCTACTCGCCAAAACCCTAAAAACTAACCCACTACACAAACTTAAGCCCTCAACCCTTTTTGCACAGACTTCCACATGCCCATCTGAATCTCAGAGCTGCAAACCCTGAACTTGTTCAAAAGGGTAAAAGTCATTCTGAAGAGCCGTCTAGGGACAGAGCCAGGGAAGTCTTGCCGCTTTGAGGGCAACCTATGACCTGGCCCGGCATGGTAGGATGTCTTCGATGCTTCAGGCCATGGGCTTTAGAGTTTGGGAGTTGGTTTTTCGATTTCACGGGCATTCGGAATGAGGTTTTTCAAGCTTTGGGGTGCTGGCAGGATCGGGAGCAGGGAAAAACGACATCACGCACAGATACACCGAGGCCGCGAGAAACACCACCTGTTCGCCTAAGCAATCACACGTCTTATACCCAAATGCCGCTCCGCTCCGGGTCGCACGAAAGACTGTTCTGGGTTGACGTATAGCAGGGAACTGCAAAAGTTTAGGGTTTAGGGTTTCGACTCTCACACTCGCAAGCGCGGGCAAGGCTCCTCATGGTTCGATCTCCGCTGATATAACTGCCAATGCTGACTCAGGAGTAAAACCCAAAGGACAGAGCAGCCCAACAGCAAACAAAAGGTTTAGGGTTTTAAATGTATGAAACCTCTGTTGCAAGATAATGAATCGCCTTCGCAACTTCGCCATGTCCTTTGATGCTGAAACAACGAGGCACACTGAAAGGACAAACTGCGCATGTTCAGGGTGCACCAACTTCCCCGGACTGAGCCCGCAGTGGGTTTAGGATTCTTTTTGTTTTTGAGCTTCCGGCGCTCACAACTCGGACAATCCAGGCCAGGCAGGCGTCAAGCTTTGAGGTTTTGGGGCTTAGGGCTTCGGCTCTCACGCTCGCACAAGGCAAGGCTTCCCGACGACTGGTCCACAACCACATAACTAGCGAGACACGTGCACAGGCTTCAGGAATCCCAAATAAAATCGATCATAACTACGAGTACGATAGCAAACAGGGGTTTGGGGTTGAGGGATTTGGCTTTCAGTCGTGCAGGGGATTTAGTATAGTACTTGGATCTCGGGATGCTTCGGAGTTTAGCATGTGCTGTCGTAGTTGTAGCGTACGCCAAACGCCTAAACCCTTGTTTGCAACGAGCTTCTTGTCTCGCCGCCAGGTTCGACAAAAAACGCTAAAATGTCCAGCAGTTAAGCATTGGAGCTGCAGCTGTGGGCTCAGGGGGTCTGTGCATGAAAACTTTGAGGTCACAGTTCCTGACTTCAGGCATCTTTCGGTGCGAAGTCCTTCATGGGTCGCACGCCTATTGTTCAGGAGTTGCTCACTATGTCGAGATTGTCTTTGGGTATGCTTCCGCTGTAACCCAGAACCCTGTAATTCCTGCATAACCCTAAGAATTCCGAGTCAGCTCTGCACAAGGAACCACACAAGATTAGGAGCGGATGCGCTCTGCGTGTGGAGGCTTGTGAAGTTCTTAGGAGCCATAGACATTGTAAAGTAGACTGTGGTCACCTGGCTTATGCCCCCTACTTACTAGGCGCCCAAGCCTTCAAGAAGCTTTGTAGAAGCCGTATGATGCGCTCACTGAACCCTTACAGAACCCCTCCCAAAACCCAGAGCCTTACAGAAGATCCTTCCAAAAAAATCTCGATGGTGGCCTCGACGATCTGCCCGCAGGGCAGGCCGCCGCCCAAGGCCTTGTCCAAAGGAGCCGCCCCGGTGGAGAGCACCCCGATCTCCTCCTTGGGCCTGACCGGGAGCGTGCTTTTTGGGGCTTTTTTTGTTGGAGGGTTTTGGGTTTAGGGTTTCGGGTTTAGGGTTTAGGGGTCTAAGGCCTAAGGATCTGTGATGGTTGCTTTTGAGCAGACTCTTGCTGTTCTTATCCGGTGCAGCTGAAACGGTCACTCACACACACACACACACACACGCACGAGTATCTGCAAGAGCTGTCCCAGGCGCGACCGAGGCTCTTTGACTGCGATTTGTCGGCAGATCCGCCTGGTGGCTCGTTTTCTCCGAGCCAAAGCCAAAGGCAATCCGATGCCGGCGAAACTCGAGGACTTGGGAATGGGAGAATGGTGACATCGGCATGGCAGAGGCCTTTGGCTTTCAGTCCCATGTACAGGCGTAGGCGGCAGAGGCGGCATAGGCAGGGTGCCCAGCATGTCCCCAGTTGCCGGCAGGGACGGCGCCAGCATGGCACGGCGCATGGTATCTACGAAGCTCTTGGCCACCCCTCTGCCTCCATGACCAATGCACACAGCTCCAACAAGAAGCATGCTTCCACAGTCGCGAATCCTTCTGGGCCAGAACACTGTGGTCAAGTCCCGAGTTTCGGAATGTTACACAGCCCCTGTCCCTGAGAGTTGTGCCCCCCCCCGAAGCCTGAAGCCAAAGCAACAAACTCCAAGAACCAGCCGGGTGGCCTCAGCAGGTTCTTTCTCTACTTCCTCCTCGGCGGGGCTCTGGCTCTGGGCCGGGGGAGACAACTGGGAATTCTTGTTCGAAGCGCTTGAAGCGCTTGGGCTACAGCGGGCTCTTTTTCTTCGAAGTTTGAATTAAGCTGTGCCGGCATCCGTCGGCATGGCAACAGCGTGGTGGGAAGCCAATGCCCAGGCGAAAAAGAAGAAAAGCACGAAGACAAGCAGATGCAGCACGCAAACACTGGAACATGGCCGGCTGGTATAACACGTTACATCTCGACCTCGTCTAAGTTTCTGCTGTCAGGGAAGAGGGCACCTGAGCACAAGCCCTGCCGGGACCGAAGCTCCAGGGAATTAGAAATGAGGCTGCCAGGGCTTGTTATAGTGTAGGTATCGGGGGCTTTACGGTCAGGCTTCGTAGAACTACTTATGCGGACCCCTATTTCAAGTAGCGTTTCGGGCCCAGGTCTCGGCACCATCAGCCCCCAGCTCTTGGCGCCAGCTTCCGAAATCCTGATGCGGTCCCAGCCGGCCGTCTCCACCCGCTTGCAAGATAAACCCTACTAAGTTACTAGACCTAGTATGAAAGCTGGGCAGCTAGGCTTTTCAACAGGAGCTTGTCCTCAAGCCAAGTAAACCCAAAGCATGAAGCCTGAAAACTACAGAAGCCTACTGTAAACCTACTGTAGTAAACCGAAGAAGCCTAAACTCAACACCTGCACACCCGAAAGTCCTATGAACATTTTTTTGAACCCAGACTCCGCATAAACTAAAACCCCTTAAGCCTCAGCCGGAACTCTGACCGAGCCTGCCAACCCAGAAGCACTACATCACTCCAGAACAGAACATGAACCCCGAAGAGCGAGATCCCCACGAGGAGCACTAAAAGAAGGCACCCCTAAATGTCAAGAAGCCCAGATAACAAACCATATATCTTATTTTTACGATAGTTTTAATTATATATTTATATTATTGTAAAAATCTGGCGAAACCTCCGGGTCTTCGGCCGCTGACTCGGGATCGGGAGCCAGGCTCTCTGCCCCTGCAGCCACTCCCAGGCTATTATTTTCTAACTGCAATAAGGAGCTCCCAACATAGTACTGGTCATTATTCAGGCTTCTATATGACACAGATCCCTCCGTGAAGGGTTTCGACTCTCACTCTCACAGCAGGCCAGAACGGCTTGAGGCGTTTGAGGCTTCAGGCTTAAACGGGGCATACGAGATCCCTTCATCAAGGGTTTGTAGGATTTGGAGCTTTGGGGTCTTGGCTCTCTACACATTCTGCGATCACTGAGCTGAGTGCAAGGACCTCGTAAGTCCAGACTCACCCTCAAGGCTACATTTCCCCAACTCCCCCCCGTAAGACAGCCACCTTCTAAGGACATTGGCGCCTACCATACTATGATTATAGTAAGGAAACCTGCGCAGCAACATGAGTAGACTAGAGCTTCTTTGACAGAATTCTGGGCTCTTCAGAAGACTAGCCAAGTCGCCCAAGTGCTGCTGTGCCAGGCCACCTGGGCTGCAAGATCATTCTATGATAGTGCAGTATTACACCATTACACTAAATGTAATGTCTTGTAATATATTACAATGTTATAACTCTCGTGTCAGAGCAACTCGTAAGGGAAGACGGAGGCTAAAGGAAGCTGTGTGTCTACCCCAGCCCGGGGACCTGTGTGAAAGTGCAAGCCGCTTTTCATCCAACTGTACGGTCCTGATACGCCGCGTGAACATCTATGCGCACATGCAAAGTAAATATTCACAGCCCTGAACTCAAGCCATCAACACATAACGCTGTTTCAAGTTTTCGAAGATCCATTGGCCGAGAAAGCCAAGCAGCAGATCTGCTGCAAGTCATTTTCGCCAAATCGTCGATCGCTGTCTTCGCAGATGCCGAAGATATACAGTGGATCAATCGGGCCCATGTTCACAAGCCTCGGCGGCACTTTTCAACTTGTCGGACCCATTCTGAAGCAATCGAATGGGAGTTTCAGCAATCACGCGACCCCACCATAGATCCTGAAACTTGACCCGTATCCTCCCCGTGACAGAATATAACCCTACACCCCGAGACCGAAAAAAGGCATCAACAAGCTCCCAGTATCTCGTCATTGTCATGAACATTAAAATACCCTGAAGAACAAGTAAACTCTGTAGACACGCGACCCCTTAAAGACCTAAAGTCCCAAAAGGATTTAGTTCAAGTCCGTAAGCACCCCGTCCAAAGGAGCCCCCCAACCCCAAGTCCTCTAAATAGCATCCAAACCCTTGCTGACCCTGGAGCCCTTACACCCGAACCCGTTTGATCTCGTTCGCTCAGACATTCCAGCTGTGCAGGACGTAGGGGTTTAGGAAAGGTTCGGTGGTAGGGCGTAGCAGAGTTTAGGGTCGTTTGGGCGCTCACAGGGTTTAGGCTAGGGTTTCGGCGCTCACACCTCGGACAATCCAGGCGAGGCATGCGTTAACGGTCGGCTTGGCGAAATGAAAACCAAGGACACTGACCACATGATCCGAAGGCCCATACAGTAACTCATCAGCCTAGCCACAAGTCCCTCACACAACATTGCCTAGCTAAGAACTTTTTTTTGTCTAGGGGTTAAGTTTAATTAGGATGGGATGAAAGCATTGACATTCTCAACGGCTGTCGCCGTCGAGCGATGGGGTTAGGGCGTTTGGGCCGGTTAGGGGCACTTTCTCGTTGCCTAGCGACTGGAGCACTTCGTCGTCCGCGAAATCCTTCTTCCCCAACTCCTTGCGCTTTAGGAGCTTTTGGAGGGGAGTGAGGCTTGTGTCGGCTTTGGGGTATGGTTTGGGGCATAGGTTGACTGTCCAGGCATGCAAAGCTCGGATGTACAGAGAAGGTTGAATCCTAAACCCGTTTTTCTGCAAGCTTGCAAGCCACCACACCTAGAAGCTTGCCGCCTCCTCGCTGAAGCTATCCTAGTCCTAAGCAAATCCAAACCCGAAAACCCAAGGTGCTAGAGTCCCAACCCGGAAACCGCAAACCGCCCAAGTAAAACGTCACGAGCCCTCGATGTAGCAACAGAAAAGGCTCTGGCGCCACAGCCGGCCTCTCGGAATTTCGCATAGGCGCAACCTGAACCTGAAACCTTTCGCTGCAACAGGCCCCAATAGGCCCCAACACACCTTACCTTCACACGTATTCCAGCCAGGCATCTGCCAGCCCATCCAGAAATCGACCGACTGCCGCGTTGTCATGCTTGGTCACCAGAGGGCTGCAGCGCTCCAAGTAGCTGGCCATCCGCTCGTTCTCAGCCGATTTTTCTCTTGGCAGTCGGGGAAATTTATGCAGCTTTTGGGGTGGGACACTCCATGAACAACAAGTTGCCCCGGCAACGCCAGACCCAAGTCAAGCTCATGCCCCGATGCTTTTGCCTCGCACCTCTCTGTAACAAGATTGCAGCCCAAAGAGGGCGGGCAGAAGTAAACCTAAACTCCGAGGCCCCACGATCAACCCTTCTGAAACTTGACGACTCAAGACCCCAAATTCACGTGGCACTTCTTGGTGCTGCACTGGAGCAACTCAGTCCCTTGCTGCCTCCAGATGACGCCGCAAACCCTCGCGGTCGTCCCGCGCCTGCAGTGGCTTGTGAGGTTCAGGGGCCTCACAGGTTCTCGGGCAAGTTTGAGGCTGCCTTGAGGCCCCAAGCTTGTTTGTCGAGCGTCCATCACTTCACTCTTCTGATGTGGCCGCACACTGTAGCCATGCCTACCAGACACAGCTCCCCAAAATCGAGCATGATCTGTTCGACATTGTTCCTAAGCCCGATTCCCTGAGCCCGAAGTCTAGCTCACTCACATAGCGTACGCATCAATTGCTGAAAAAATCTTGGTCTACGTCGGATGCGCCGAAGCAAAAACGCGTAGCTTCTTCCAGTAGAACCCCCCAAACAGGGAGACTCAAACCCTGAAGGCCCTAAACCCTAAGATTCTCACTGCAAGGGTGCGACCGCGCGGCCTTGCCCTCCTCCTTGTCTAGGAGCCTTGTCCTGGCTTTGGGCGAGCAGGGCGCCTAATGGAAAATGGGGCGCCTCTGAGGGTAAACTCTCGATGAAGTAGGCATAGCAGGCACCTCAACAGGAATCCTGCACCGGGACAACCCGCGTGTCGTGCTTATGGTGTCTGTTTCTACTCCGCTGGTTTTGAGAAGCACGGACGTGCAGCAAGCCCTGAAGTACAAAATCTTCTCCCTCCCCAGTATCAAACTCTGTTCCTTCCGTACATGGTATCGTTAATATAGTTGTTTTAAAGTTGGTCTATTATTAATATCATTATTAGTAGTGATATTGTCGTGATTAGTAGTAATTGGCGTTAATGTTATCATCATTGCTATTATATGAGACGAGTCCTGTCACGCAGGTGCGGAAGCTCCTCCGTCACGATGCTATACACCTGTGTCTGGTCTGAAGGCTTCGGCTCTCTGCAACCAATGCCGGTAGGGGCTTAGGGCTAAGGGTTTCGGGTTTTAGCACTATACATATAACTAGATATTTCCAGTCCTTAAGCCTCTGATCTTAAGAGCGTGGTGTCTTTGAGCCACTTCGAACCACAATGAAAACAGGATTTCTAGTCATCGTTTGACCTTGTATTGCAGTTGTTAACGAAAAGTTTAGACAAAACCACTTCGTAGCAGAGCACTTGCCGTAGGGTTTTAGCTTACCCTGCAGTGCCCGGGGGTACCGGCTGCTCAACTCGGACACAGCCAGATGAGGTCTCTCGGTTCGAAGTCGGACTACGGTGACTACGGGCAACCTGCTGCACTCGCAACCTGGAGAAGACAGGAGCAACTGAAAATATGCATTGGCTTGTAGTGGTAATTGCTGCATGGCCATGACAGAACCCGTCTATGAACCCTCACACAACCTGAGAACAGAACCGGTAATGCTCACCCAGCGAAGTGCCCAGAAGGGCCTAGCTGAAAAACTACATCTTACCAGCAGCATGCCCGACGGCCTTTTCGCTGCTGAACGCGAAGCAAGCCTGAATCTGCAATCTCCCAGAAAGGAGCCACTGAAAAGCCCTTGGCTTATGGTGGCAACTAAGACATGGGATGGGAATGACGGAAGCCCTTTTCGAACCTTTGCTCAACCTGAACACAGAACCGGTAAGTCTCAGCCAGCGAAGTGCTCAGAAGAGGAAAACAGGCCCAGCCCTGGGCCTAGCTCTCAGGAGCGGCTGCATCGCTCAAGCCGGCAAGGCCCTTCAAATCAAGCTGGTAGTCTCCGGATTGCTCCTGGAAGTTGCTTGCAATCTGCAGCGCGATTGTTCCCACATCAGCTGTATGCAGAGGCGGCGCAGTCGGATCCGGCCGCCCGCGGCGGAAGCCGGTGAAACGGCTAAACGGCACCTCCAGGCTTTCCTCTGGCTCCGGAGTGAAACGGACTTGGTAAGAGCTTCCTGCCTCCGCTCCCCGGATCTTCAAGAGCAGCGTGTACTCTCGCCCGTCGGAGCCGGCTACATCCAGCTGCAGGCCTGTGAAAGTCGTCAGCGGCTTTGGAAGCTCCGCAACGTCGAGGTTAACACCGGCGAATCCTGCTTTCAGCTTGCTCGGGTCGAGAGTTCCTTGGAACTTAGCGCCGGCCTTGCTCGGTATCAGCCTCGCCGTAGAAACCCCGCCGCGGACGGCATCAGTTACCGGCTTCCATTGGCCGAAGTGCCACGACACAGGCCCTCCCAGAAGCGGAACTGGCGCAGCTGCAGACCTGGATTCCGCCAGGGCGGTGGTGCAACTCGTCGCCACGGCGGTGGCTGCTGCAACCGCAACAGCTCGGCGAAAGTTTCCCGACGACCGCATGGCACCCACTGCTGAGCATAGAAAGGATTGAGTCGAAAGCTTGAGCCGTAGCCATTCAATACGGTTTGAGGGTTCAGACGTTATCGTGCTTAGGAATGCAGGGATCTCACCTCGAACACCAAGCCAAGAACTGGACCAGGGCTGGCGGGTTGAGTACGGATTTGTGTTCACTCGTATTTCCGATAGGAAACCCAAACCAAACCTTAAACCACCGACCACCTTAACACTGCTAAGGAGCCCCTATGCACGCTTATCAGCTCACCGGTGTCGTGCTCAACTCAACACGGCGAGGCCTCCCGATTGGTCAGAAGCTGCGGCCCGACTTGCAAGATCTTCATGGCAAGAACCAAAGTGTCAAATTTAAGGCTTTAAGGTTGAAGCCTAAACTCCAAACCCTAAGACAACTGCAAAGGCTGGATGCTCTGGTTTTGGCAGCCATGGAAAGGCTGCATCTCAAAGCAGCTTAGGCACATCATCAGCAAACCCTAATCAGCTGCTCGGCTAACTGGACAGACGCTTGAGCCACTGAGCTTCAGGTTGCAGATTGTACTTTTCTCGAACTTCTGGAAGCCTGGATTCCGGAGATCGGGTTGGGAATGAGATTTCTTGCAGGCGGAACAGCAATTGGGGTTCGGACTGGGCTTTGGTAGGGCCCGGAGCTTCCAAACCCAGGTTCCCAACTTCCCACAGGACCAAACGTGTCATTACTCCTTCGTCACAAGAAGACGGCGTCAATGTCGAGAGGGAGGAGGATGACCAAGCTTGTGATGGTCATGGAGATGGTGATGCCAATGGTGGATGTGGTTTCTCTGTTGGCGACAGTGAGGATGAAGAAGAAAAATAAGTCCCCATGGCGATGATGGTTTGACCATGATGGTGCTGCTGCTGATGGCGGTGATGCAACTGATCAGAAGGATGATGGTGGTGGTGCTGCTGCTGCCGCCAGTCTTGCTGGTGGCTGTGGTGCCGGTCGTGGTGTTGGTGGTTGGGGTGGTGGTGGCGTTGATAGTGGTTTCGGGGCTGGGGGCGGCGGCGGCGCTGCAGCTGGTGCTGCTGCTGCTGCTGCTGCTGCTGCTGCTGGTGCTAGTGCCTGACGCCTCGTGCCTGCCATAGGCGCCCAAACCTGGAACGTAGGCGCCCGGCGTGGGCAGCGGGCACTCCTGCGGACCCAAGAACAACACTCTTTGGTTTTGTTAAGCCCGACATCCCACCCCGAACTGCTGCAATGCCACAATGCCTGCGGGTCATAACCCCCGAGATCCACCAGCCTGGATAACCCCAAGCTCCATAGCCGGGCAGCCCAACTCGAAACCACGATCTGATGCCTTATAGCATCAAAATCTCAAAAAGTTCAAGGTCTCCTCTTACAACCTACCCCACGGTGGAGTGCATTCAGTGCGAACCCTCACCCAGAGCCCAGAGCCCTAGGCCCCATTTAGCCCTCACTTGGGGGATCAGTGACTTGGTATGTAAGGCAGTGAGGTTATAGACGTCATATGTAACAGCTAGTCTTCAGGCAAGCAGGCCAAAGCAGACATCCTCCACTCGAATCGCTCCAATCCATGGCAGTTGCAATGGCCTCCGTTGGCGCTCTGAGGCCCTAAACGCCCTAACGACCCTAAAAACACAACAACACACTAAATCCAAACCCTAACTTTCAGTTTCGGTTGCGAATGAAACACGCAGGGGGTGGAGGTGGCATTATCGTCCCGAGAAGTCCCTTGGGAACGTTCGCATCGAAACATAGCCCACCCGCTTTGCCTCATAAAGATGGGCGTCTACCAAAACATAACCATCATAACCATCTTCGTCGCCGCCGTCCACACCATCGCCGCCGTGATTCAAGCAATCATTATGATCTTCATGGGCATTATAACCAAAAACCGTACAGACTAAGACCCAAAACCACAACAGACTTCGTCATGAGCCAAAACTCGAAGAAAATCTAAAAACTGGCACCAGCAGGATCAGCCCTAATGTGCCAGGGCCCTCACCGTGTGCAGGCCAGGCGCAGGGTCGCCAGAAGGCGCCTGGACAGAAGCTGCCCACCCCACAGCAACCATGAAATCCTAAACCCTAAGCCCAAAATCCTGAAAACCGGATACCCTAAAGCCCCGAAACGCTGAAGTCATATTGAGGATACGCCAGCCTGGAACATCTAACCACATTAGCCGTTCAGCCCAGCAGATCACTCTGCCTGTGGCGGGTGCGTCAGAGCTCGGAACAAGGACCTGAGATAAGCTTCAAACACAAAACAAAATATTGGATAAGGAGGGAAAACAGAGTGTCGCGGGCATGCGAATGCATATATATATATACAGAGATATATATATATATATTCACTCACTCACTTACTTACTTGCTTACTTACTACGTGCTTAATTAGTTATCTATTTGTTTGTCTGTTATGTAGACATTTAAGTGTGTGTGTGTGTGTATGTATATATATATATGTGCTCCATATATACGTACATAGATACATAGATACATAGATACATAGATACATACATAGATACATACATACATACATACATACATACATACATACATCATACAAACATACATATATATATACATGTATATGTATGTATGTATGTATGTATGTATGTATGTATGTATGTGAGTATGTACGTATGTATGTATGTATGTACGTATGTCTGGGTATGTGTACGTGCATGTATTTG